CATCCTTGTCCAGGTTGCCTAATGCTCTCAAATGTCAATCCTATTGGTGACTACACATTTGTTTCTGCCTAAGATTATATATTCAACCTCAACCCTGTTGAAAATGTCTAATCCTATTACCCACTTTGTACTTTGCCTGATTTCCTAATGTCTATATTTATATCTGCTTTTCTACATATTTTCCCCAGTTCATCATTGTGACTGACTCTTCACATGTGCTGACATTTACATTCACTCTCTAACTGACATCCTAGTGCTAAAAACTTTTGGTCCAAATTTTATACTCACTCTTTTTTCTATACCTACTTACTAGCTTCCTAATCCTACCTACTATCCCTTTTTGACTGGATGTTCTCTTCTACATTCAATCATCCAAGGTACAAGGTCCTATGCCATTGTATATCAATTTATCTGAGACAACTGTGCAGAATGTAATTCAAAGTTAAGTATCCCAATCAAGGGCCCAATGCCTTTCCGAGCTTCAAATCTTACTTAGATTTCTGTTTTCATGCAAATATCTCACCTATATATTATTATAAATATTGCAGGTTCCCAATACCATTCTTCATCCAGCAGAATGATTCCTAACCCAAATCGAACATGATCTTACCCCTAACCATACACTGTTCCGTCAATCCAACTTTACAGAAGAGCAGGGACAGAGTTGATCTTACAATACAGCAATTAAGAAGATCTTCCATCTGCTGAGAACCTCAAAGGTCCATGCAGAAATCATCCCTGGAGAAGATGTAGGCAGCTAGGAAGGACCTGAGAGAGCAAAAGTCATCTTCCATAACAAACAACCTGGTCCAGATGAAGTGATGTGTCTGAATGAGCCTCTCTCTTCTTAATGTAGACAAGATGGACCAAACCAGGCCTGTGTGGAGAGCTGTTCCTGGGTGCTTATGGTGGATATACCATTCTAACTTGTGAAAGTGTCACAGGAAGCAGGGGCAGCCTCCATCTCATGGGACCCATGGAAGCAACTGTTAGGACAATGTGGTTGCCAAGGCAGTGACCTCATTCAGCTCCTGAGGGAAGTGACCTCACCTCACTTCCTTGGTGATGGAACTCTCTGAACTTGAGATCCAGGAAGCCAGGCACCCAGAGCCAGTCCCAGTGCCAGTCCCAGTGGGCTCACTTCTTTGGATTTACCAAGGACAGAGTCAGCCTTTCTTGGTACCTACTGATGTGAGGATGGCCAAATGCCAGGAAATCTCCGAAGAGGGGACTTTCCTGAGAAAGCAGGTAGTGAGTGACTCACACACTGGCTCCTGACACCTACACAGAACTGGCGAAAGAGGCCAGATCTGAGACAGGACAGGTAATTTCAGGGGAACGACCTACTTGGGGGAAGGAGGTGTCTTTTTGTGTGTGGGTGTGACTTTGTGGTTTTGTCTCATGTTCTGAGAATAGGTAGGAAAGGCAGGTTGTTTGGTTTGGAGTGGACTGTTTCTAGTAAATCTTTTCACAAGGTGAGTGTTTCTATGTTTGTGTATCCCACTGTGGTTGTAAACATTAGAAAAGAGAATGTATCAATGGATGTGTCCTGTCTAGTAGAAATATTCCCATCATTCATCCTGCCCAATTTATGAATGGACTGTGGCTTGCCTTATGGATGGGCAGCACCTACTATCTTCCTAAGTTCCTGTTTTCTTCCTGAATTCTGGCCACTCTCCAGAATAGGCTCATGGTTTCGTGTCCAAGATATGTACCATTTCCAAGCTTGGTGACATGGGCATGTACTGGATAGGTGAAGGGAATGGTGAGCATCTCAGAAAACTCAGATGTCAGTGTGATCATTAAAGTCTCAGTGGAGAAACCCTGCTTTGGGCCTTTTGCTTAACTATTGTACTATTGCCCTTAATGTCAGGAAATACTTTGCCTCAGAGCAGCCCTTTGTGAAGCCTGAAGAAAACAGTTTTCAAATGGAAATGAATGGGCATCACCTGTGGCTCTTTGCTTAATTGCTTTGCAAAGGGATGTGTCTGAATCAGCCTCTTGGCCCTGTGTGAGGCTGTGCCTTAGATTGTCAGTGTCAGCACCTGATGGATCTAAAGAAAGATCCCATGTGTGCATCCAAAACCAAAATACCAAAAAAGCAGTCATTGAGGATGAAGTGTCTCGCCTTCCTCTGTAAGGTTCCTGACCTCAGTAAATTGAGAATAGGGATCCTTTGGGTCAAGTGAGTTCTTCAGAACCCTGCAGAGGCTAGCCCATAGGTGCTTGGGTTTTCTCATGACTCCAATTCACACAAAGAATCTATACCCTACAGTCAGTAGGCCTCAAAATGGACAAGCTGAGCAGTATTAATGGCAGGCCTATTTGATCACTCCTGGTTCACAGGAAGGGTGTTCAGGCCACCCTGACATTAGGCAAATGACAGGCAAGGGAGCTAATTGTGGACACTGTGTTGGGCTGAGCTTCTCATGGAAACATCCAGGCAGAGGTTATGAGACGTGTCTATATGGAAGAAGATGAGGGCCATGTGGCAGTGTTTTGGTTTGAATTTGATCATTTGTGTGGCGGTTGGAATAGATGACTGGGTCCACCTGGGCTTGAACTCTAGTGTGATTCCCCTTGGAGACTGAGATCTGGAAGTGACCTCAGAGAATTATTGCCATGAATTGTGTTAAGATTTAAGGAGGCAACACATGAGAGTCGCCCTTGAAAACTGAGATCTAGGTCCAGGATGGCTTTTCACAGAGCACTGGGAATCTCAGCTAGGATATCACATGATTTTATTCTTAAAGACCTGGCAGCCATAGTTGAGAGTCAAAATACACATGGATCTCACATTGTAGACCTAAATGGGCCTGGCTTCATGTGACCATTTGGCCACTCTTTGGGAAGCCTTGTTTGTGAGAGTTCTCCAGAGCTTTCAATGAAATGAGCTTTCTCACCATTTAATGGTTCCTGAATGAATGGAACCCACAGGGACTCCAACTTCATCCTTTAAAATTGGCTAGATAAATACCATGAAATTTTTGAAGTTTCCATGACCAGGTGGCACTGGAGAACCTTTGGATATCCTATTGCTGATCATGAGTGTACCAGACAGTGCCTTGATTGAATGGGTTTCATGAAAATGGTGTAAAACAGAGATGCCAGTAAGTTGGAGCCTGCTGAGTAGTGGGCCTAGAGCAGTAGTGTGCAGGTGTGTGATAAAACATCTGTGGTGGGGCCATATGGATCTGCCATTGGCTTCCAAATGGCTTGTGACTGACATGGTGCAGCCAGCAGACCCTTATATGTAAAGGCATCTTGTTATATTTAGAGGTTTCAGGGCAATATTCAGAATCAGTTTCCTATGGTCAAGGGGGAAAGCTCTGTAGGATAAAAGCCTGGTTGGTGCATTCTCCTAGGACCATGAGTCAGCACACGTGACAGAACTCCTTCCAGCACTGTGTTTCAGTTGAACTCCTTGTATTTCATGAAGCAGATAGGAAACTCCCAATGAAGCAGCAAGAAACACCACAAAAAGTGTAGGATGTCCAAATGGCTTCACATTTCACACGGAAAGACACTTAGCCCCAGTGGCCACAGTTTACCTACAAAGAGAGGATTCAGCACTTCTGCCTCATGTTGATGGAAAAATCAGAAACCATGTTCTTCAGGACACATAGATGCAGACCCAGCTTTGATGGTCTCACTACAAAGGAAGCTAAAGCTCCTGACAACAACATATATTTCAAATGCCCAACCTCAGAGGCAGTTTCTCAAGAAGTCTTTAGGCCAGCAGAGCTCCATGTTTGCGGAGAGTTTACCCTGTTCCTTACTTATGGAAACTCCTCTACCACATCCAAGGTTGTGAACTCCTGAGCATTTTCCATTCCACATATGTATTCACAGCTTTTCTAACTCTTCTCCTTGAATTGTGTCTTTCTTGTCAAGGTATTGTTCTGGATGAGAGTGGGAAGATTTTTGTGTAGCACATATTTGCATACACATTGGATTTATTTTCCTATTTCCTGTTCGAAATACTGAATCCCTAACACTAACCCATATTCTAGTAGACTCTGAGTATGAATCCTAATATGATGGAGAAAAATAACCCAAACAGAATAGAAATACAAGCAGTTTGGAGGAGGCATGGTGTATAGTTGGACTTGCCTTTTGCATTATAAAGTTTAGGTGTTCTAAATCTAGTCCAATTTAATAGAAATAGTTCTCCATGTGTTTTGAAAGTTAACAAATATGTGAATTCCTGTCTCCCTTTCTCTGTAGCCTATTCAGCACATGTATTTTTACATGCACATATAGAATCCTACCTGGTATCCCAAGTATATTCTTGTGAAGTGGCTGACTTGTCAGATACAAATTGTGAGAAGAGATCACTCCTCCTAAATGCTGTTGGAACTGAAAATCAACCTACAGGTGAGCTTCCTACTTGAACAACATGATACATAAATCCATGTTCAGTAAAATAAATATTTTTGGTTCTGTTAATGATATATATTTCATGATGAATTTCGATTGGCATATATATTTCTACTTTTTAATGTCTGTGTTTGTGTTTTGTGTGTGTGTGTGTGTGTGTATATATACACACACTATATATATACACACACACACACACACACACACACACACACACTCTCCAGATTTTTTAAAATATGAAATATGTGTGTCTTATTATACACTCCCTAAATTCATTCATGTTTATGTATGTGGATTTATTATCAACTTTTCACAAGAGTGTTCTCGGAAATATTCATCCACCTGAAATACATATTTGTTTTCTAGCAGTGAAAACTAACTTCAGTGAATGGTGCATTGAAATTCTTATATTTCCACAGTAACTGACCTAGTTTAACATCAATGCTAGTAGATTCCTATGGGACATGATGTCCATTTTGACATTTATTTTTATTCAACACTGGTACATTACTATTTCTTCAGTTGATGCACATCATAAGATGTATATTTCATCCACAAGTTCACAAATTTCCAGGCATTTGGTTCACTTTCAATCACTTCCTGCTTCACAACACATGTACTGCTGTATATTTCTGGACTGGTATTTTCATGAGACTTCTTTGCAAACACATTATTTTCGATTTCCATAATCACTTTTGAAGCAAAACTCACACACCCTTCATGGTAAACAATAACCCTAATATTACCATTAGATGTATAACTCGTTGGAATGAATGATTGTGTATCAATATAAGATTTCCTATATATTTTCAGATATCAATTCAATCCATTTTTTAAATCGGAACCAGTTATATTATTTATTCACAGTATGGTCTATTCATGCATTATCTCTATATTCATAGACCCAGGGTACACCTATTTGTGCCCCCAAATGCTAATTTATATGTCTTCAACATATTGCTCCCAGAAATGGTGAAAGATATACTCATGTCACCTCATCTACATAAATATTTTATCACAATGATATTCTGGACACAAAATGCAAAGGTCACACTTGTGATTGTACCAAAGCCTAATTGGAAAGTGAGCATGGATTACTAAAATCATCCTTTTCCAGGTTTCCTAATGCTCTTAAATGTCAATCCTATTGGTGACTACACATTTGTTTCTTCCTAAGATTCTATATTCAACCTCAACCCTGTTGAAAATGTCTAATCCTATCACTCACTTTATACTTTGCCTGATTTCCTAATGTCTCTATTGATATCTGCTTTCCCACATATTTTTCCCAGTTCATCATTGTGACTGACTCTTCACATGGGTTGACTTTACATTCACTCTCTAACCGACACCCAATTTCTAAATACCTTTTGCTCCAAGTTTTATACTCACTCTTCTTTCTAAACCTACTGACTCTCTTCCTTATCCTACCTACTATCCCTTTTTTACAGGGAGCAGTAGAGGCCCCACCCTCCCCCGCTGCTTGCTGGCTTAGGATCTATCTTGTCCCCTGAGAGCCTGTGTATGACATACCACCTCACACCTACCCTCATTGATGATATCACATGGCCAACAGGAAGAGTCACCAAAGATTTGGGAACAATTGGAACTTGCCTCCTTTTTTTGGTAAAAATTTCAGATAGTATAGTCTCTTTAGCAAATTACCTGTTAGTTCCTCAAAATGACAAACATGGAGTTACCCTATGGGCCAGCAATTCTACTTCCAGAAATCAGTACAAGAAAAAAAAAAGAAGAAGAAAGAAAGAAAAGAAAAACGTACATCAGCACAAAAGCTTGTGTTAATGGCAATAGTCAAAGAGCAGGAAGTTGTGAGTGTGTCAATGAAATGTGGCATATCCATACCATGCAAGATCATTTGACAATGGAAATAAATGAAATCGTGATGCTTGCTATATCGTGAAAGAAAACATTATGTGCAGTAAATGAAGCAGCCATGAAGAGCACATGTTATATGATTACATGACTAAATTTATATGAAGTGTCCAGAACAGTCACATCTACAGAGATTGGAAGCAGACTGATAATTTTCCTAGGACCACAGGTAGGAGGGAGGGGATGGATTGTGTTGGTGGGAAGAATGGAAAGCTACTAATAATGGGGACAGGGCTTCGTTTGTTGTTGAAGAAGATGC